CTTTCAATTTCCCCACACTTCTACACTTCTTCCTTTAGCTTCACAGCACTAACTCATCTCTCCCTTAGTTGATGTACAATCACCGTTCAACGCTTAGGTGGGAAACTTGAATGTGCAAAGAGTCGGCTCAATTGAATAATTCTCCCCCAAAATAGGATATAAACTAAGAATTGGATGATAAATCAAAAGGTATTCAGTTCCCAACAGTACTTGGACGTTGACGTATCATGAGATCATACAGTCAGAACACAAAGTCACAACGCAAATCCAACAAAAAAAAAGAAAAAATCCGATAAGACAACTCAAAGGAACAACTAGAAACAGTAAGAGTTCTCTCAAACGCTTTCTCAACTATCACAAACAACACGCGCTATCTCACTCCAAGGTGTTCTTCTCGGAAATGGATAAAGAGCTACAACAAGACAGCGGTACAGAAAGAAAATAACTTCAAAGGAACCTACAAGAAGCAACGAAAAAGAGAGTTCCCTTTCAAATCAGAAACTCTCCTGTACATCTTTCACAATTGCTTATCGAATGAACAAGAACGAGCGTATAAATGAAAATAAGTAAACCCTCTTAACCCCAGCAACTCACACAACCTCTCTCTAACCACTCACAGCACGCAATGGCGTTTCAAGAGTGATAAGTGACTCCGCCCAGAACCAAAATACAAACATATAACTATAAAAAGAATTTATTTTCTCATTATACTCAGAAAAGTAAAGTCTGTCATCCGGCAGTGCCTGCTAGACCATCATATGAAATACAGATTGAGACGAAAGGCGATACTATCATGCTAAAGGGACAAAACCAAAAAAGAAAATAATGACAACCTGAACAACGCTACAATATGAATAACCAGAAGCAGATATTCAAAGTGAGAAGAAAGGCAAGGAAATTGATGATAAATGCCTTCGAATGGAAGTTGCTTCAAGTCATTAAGGTAGCGGAACAGTCTAGAACAGGAGGATGATGTTCGAAAAGAGATTGTCAATCAATCTGNTAGCGGAACAGTCTAGAACAGGAGGATGATGTTCGAAAAGAGATTGTCAATCAATCTGCCGGATGAACCAAACTACACATTATCTTACTGCTCCGGGACATAACATAGAGAATCGCTTTGCTCAAATACTTCACACAGATTACTAATTATAAAAAACAAGGATCATAATAATAAGTTTGAAAACTGTTAGCTTCCGAATGAGTCATGTGCACAACCGCACACACACATGCTCACTCCGAATGAATTTGAACAGAGGGGGATGAAAACAAATCAAAGAAAGTTCTCACAGGAGTATCTCAATGAAACTCCGACTGTCATCATCATTTGTCGCTGACAACTAACATGATGATTTACCAAAAAATCACTGACAAGTGATATAGCATATCCTACGATCTGGGAGTTTGTTGATATATCAAACCATTTCCTCGCAAAATATTTCTTTTCTGCTTTCCTATCCTTTTCAGGAAACTCAGTGAGTTAGGTAGTGAGGGCTGAGACTGATTGAATCCAAGCTGTTCTACCATAAGCTGAAACAAGCGACGGTGATGACGGTTCATATAAACTACTGTAAACAAAAATAGGAATGTAAAGTAGAACTGACTTCTTCTTATTATTGAAGAAACTTTTGCTCTGTAGTCCGGGTTAGACATGAGAACATAGTATGGCCCGAAAATCGGGTAGGCACTTATACAAAGAAAAACAATCTGGCCAATAACTGAAAGTAATTATCGAATGGTCTGTATGATGTTTCATTCGCTTCTCAGTGTCTAGAATAAGTCATAACGTACGGAGATTGCCATGATTGAAATAGAGACAAGTTATCAGAATAATGAAAGGAATAGCCAAGGCGATTGT